AAATCTTTCTTTTCCTTGACAGCTCCTTTAACCTAAGGGCTCATAACAAGACCCAAATGCTAGGCCTACAAATGGCTGCGTGGCCTTCCAGCACCGTAGGTCTTCACCACCCACCACCCAGAGTTCCTATCGGAGGCTTCCTGTATCTCCTTCACCAGCCCCATGGGATGAAAGGCAGTCTGTATGTTAAGCATTAGTTCCTAATCTCGCTAATGAAGCATAGCACCGTAGGTCTTCACCACCCACCACCCAGAGTTCCTATCGGAGGCTTCCTGTATCTCCTCACCAGCCCCATGGGATGAAAGGCAGTCTGTATGTTAAGCATTAGTTCCTAATCTCGCTAATGAAGCACGGGTATTAAAAGTGCCCTCATGGTTCCATCCAGAACACTACAAGCTGTCTTGAAAATGCAGCCTTGGAATAATCCTGATTTCCTAAGCAATGTATGCAGAATAGGACTCGGCACATTCTGGGATATATGTTTTATAGCATACACAGTCCAGTGAAATTTCTATTCTTGGTCACTTCATTCTTATTGCCTATTTATTTATAGCAAAGCAAAACTAAGTGAAAATAACGATTTTCCCAGAGTTTTCTCTTTAAGACCTATCAAACCTATCAGAGAAATAAAGACAAACAATTGCCCCACTAAATTTACTACTTTAGTTCAGTTTTATTTAGTTCTGCTTCTGTTTCTTCTTCAGACAGTTTGATGTGTGGTCGAACTTAGAAAAACAAGTGTTTTGGGTAAGTTCAAACTTCACTAGTGATCCACACAGTTGCTTCTTCTTTTCTATATTTAAGGTTTTGTAAAAAAGGTATTTACTATACTTTAATAAAAATAAAGACATTAAACAGTTCTGAATAGGGTAAGTGTATTAGCAATGGTCTCCGAAAGATTCCTTAAATAAAGATTAAGTTTTTCTTGGAATGTGTGGTCATGGCACTTTTATTGACTCATAATGGGATTGCTCTATTTGGTGCAGTCTTGCTGTTAGTTTGCCTTTGGGGTTATAAAACTAACATTAAACAGCTAGAGTTGATATAAATGTATCACATTAATGATAATGGAATGCTTTATTGGTTCAAATATGATTGAATGTATATATGTCATTCTCCAGACTCACTATTCTGTACACATCATCTATTCTCCTATTGTTGCCTCAATACCATACTATCTTAATTACTATAACTTTGTAATGTTTTATATCCAGTAAGAGTAAGTCCTCTTTGTTTCTGCTCTTTAGGAAAAATATCCCTTTGATTTTCCATATAAATTTTATACTAGCCTTGAAAATTGAACTTGTCAATTTTCAAACACACAGAAACAAAATTCCTGAGATTTTGGGTGAAATGGCACTGAATCTATAGGTAAGTTGGGGAGAAATGATGCGTTCACAAGACTGAATTTTCCTATCCATAAACATAGAATATCTCTTCACTTACTAAGATCTTTATATTTTCTCAGACATATTTCATAATTTTCTATGTGCAGATATTGTACAATCTTGCTGGATTAATACCTATGGGTTTCATTTTTTGATACCTTTGTAATTTGTTTTAATTTTATTTTTCTAATTGTTATTGGTATATCAAAATGAAATCAATTTTTGTATATTTACCTTATATCCAGTAACCCTATTAAATTCACTTATTGTTCCTAATAGTTTATCTTTGGATTCTTCTGAATTTTCTACATTAACAATAATGTCATTAATAATTTTAATTTGTTTAAAGAATTGATCTGTAATACTACAGAACTCATGCAATAAAAATACTTTCTTGTTGGGGCCAGCCCGGTGGCGCACTGGATAGTGCGCCGCTTGGGAAGCGCGGCGGCGCTCCCGTCCGAGGGTTCGGATCCCACATACAGACCGGTTCCCGCTCACTGGCTGAGCGAGGCGCGGGAGCAACACCGAGGCTTGCGATCCCATTGCCGGTCCCTGGTCCGGTACGGGGGCAACACTGAGGGTTGCGATCCGTTGCCGGACACGGAAAAAAGACAAAAGACAAAAAAAAAAAATACTTTCTTGTTAAACTAGTTCACATATAGAACTTAGTATATTAGATTAAAACTCACCGAGGGTTGCGATCCCATTGCCGGTCCCTGGTCCGGTACGGGGGCAACACTGAGGGTTGCGATCCGTTGCCGGACACGGAAAAAAGACAAAAGACAAAAAAAAAAAATACTTTCTTGTTAAACTAGTTCACATATAGAACTTAGTATATTAGATTAAAACTATCTGTGTGAGATTAGAAAATCTGGAATATTGGCCTTAGCATAAAAGAATACAAAGGACAGCAAATATGAGGGGTCTTCAAAAAGTTCATGGAAGGATCTGTATTATCTTTTAATTCCATTTTTCCATGAACTTTTTGAAGTACCCTTGTACATAAAGAACATGTTTATTCTTTGGGGAGCTCAGGAAACAGATATTCTGTGTGCACTGCTCCCCTATTCCCACCCACCTAGCCCTGCTCCACACATATACACCAAGAGAAAAAAATGCTGGCTTTTGACCAAACTATATTTCCATGTCTATTCCTTTCCCTTCAGGCATGCAAGAAAATAAGAGGCTAGTTGAAATGATATATTTTATTTGCTCCTGCTAACATATTATTCTGATGATATCACTGTTGATGACATATCACTTACCTTCTAGAAGACCTCCTCTCCCCACTTTTTTATCCTCTCTCCCAAATCCTCCTCCGTACTGGGGTTACAAAGAAGTTACCAGTGTCTGAGTTAGCTCACTCCTTGCTGTTGGAACCCTCCCTACTTACGGGGAGGTAGATATGAGGTTGGAACCAGGTCTGGTTTGGTTGCATCAGAAGGCAATGGAAACAGAAATGAACCCTAATCCACCCATTGTTGGACCCAAAAAACTGACACAAAATGAAGGAGCAGAGACTTTGGTTCTGTCTTTAGCAATATTTATTGGAAACAGCCATGTTTCCCATGGTGAGAGTTTACACGTTAAGCAGTAAGATTTGCCTTTCACTCCACATGATCCACTACTGCACGTGGCACATTGGAAGCAGCACATTAAACCTCTGAAAGAGTCTGTACAGCTAGATAAATAGAACTCTGGATACCTCACAGGACTTTCAGGACTGACACACACACACAAACACCGCCCCCAAAAGAAGAAAAAGCAGCACTGGTAAGCTTACACACAGCACTGTACACACAAAATGAAGATGGGATAGAAGGGGCAATAATAAAAGTAAATGAATTGGAAAAGAGTTTTGCATATGCAGCCACATACCTTAAACTGCTAAGCACAAAAATCATCGTTATTTGGTCCTCATTGAGGGCAGAATATGCACAATGATGCTCAAAGAACACAAGGTAAAAGTGGAAAGGAAAGATATTTACTGTTTCTTGGTCGATGAACTAATGGGAAAATGGTTACCAGTGTTTTTCTCCTTGTGTCTCTGTGCCAAATGGATTCATGAAACATGGAATTCATAAATAAAACTGAAGCAAAGATATTTGCTCCCCCTTCCCTATACCATTCAGAAACGGCCTAAATATACACATGGTTTTTTGTACAGCAAGAAATTTAAACTTGGAAACCAGATCTTTTCCCAATTCTTCTTAATGGAGCATTTCCTCTTTTTAGCCCCTCCCATACAATGTGCTGATTGCCAACTATGTTACTTAGACATAAATGGGAATCCCCACTCTGGCTTTAATAGCAGTGAGGAAAGAAAACTGATTGCACCTCAGAAATAGGCATATGTAGGGCCGGCCCGGTGGCGCACTGGATAGTGCGCCGCTTGGGAAGCGCGGCGGTGCTCCCGCCCGAGGGTTCGGATCCCATATACAGACCAGTTCCCGCTCACTGGCTGAGCGAGGCGCGGGAGCGACACCAAGGGTTGCAATCCCGTTGCCGGTCCCGGTCCGGTACGGGGGCGACACTGAGGGTTGCGATCCGTTGCCGGACACAGAAAAAGACAAAAAAAAAAAAAAAAAAAAAAAAAAAAAAAAAAA